ATCTAAACCTTAACTTCATTTATTTGCCTTTGTTCCCTATCCTTTGATTCTCTTGCCTAACAAAAAAAAACTAATACTGCTAGTACTAAAAGCTCCAATTGTCCCCAGCTATCCATTATCTGTTGGAAGATAGAATTCCAGATGTGTATGGAAACGATTCCTGATTTTACTGACCGAGCTCTAATTCTGTAACTATGAATCCAAGTACTTGATTCCCCAGCAGAAGAAGTAGTTTCTCTGTCTATCTTATCAAACCCTTTTTTATTTTTTAAATGCGTTAATCAGATTGACTCTCCATCATCTAAACACAATGTCCCTTTTACTACCTCCTATTCTACTGGATCTCTTCCACAGGACATGCACAAAAATCAACAGCATACAGAAACAAAGGCAACAAAGCAGATTGCAAAAAGGTAACGTCGTCAGGGCGCCTCCAGTGAAGTGTTGGCGTTCTGTCCCACTTGATATTTATATCCCTCAGTTTGCTGGGGTGGTTGGCATCACTTGCGGTTCTGTTTTTTAGTGGTTTGTATATTGGGTCCAGTTCACTGTGTTTGTTGACAGAGTTCTGTTTGGAATGCCAGACCTCCGGGAATTCCCTGGCATGTCTCTGTTTGGCTTGTGCTATTATGGATGTGTTGTCCCAGTTGAACTCGTATCCTTCTTTGTCCATTTGTCTTGAGACCAGTGAGAATTGCTCACGTCTCTTGGTACCTAGTTGGTGTTCATGTATCCTCATTGTCAGTTTTCATCCAGTTTGGCCTATGTAATGTTTCATGCAGTCATTGTGTGATATTTTCTATATTACGTTAGTTTTATTGGTTGTGGGTATGGGATCCTTTACGTTTGCCAGTAACTGTCACAGAATGGTTGTTGGTTTGTGGGTTACCCTGATACCTAAGGGTCTGAGTAGTCTTGTGGTTGTCTCTGATATGTCTCAGGGTAGGGTGACAAGTGTGTCTGGCCCTGTTATGTCTTCCTGTTGCGGTCTATCGCGGAGGTAATGACGGGTTATGCTTTTTGGGTATCCATTCCTTTTAAAAATTCTGTATAAGTGCTCCTGTTCTGCTTTGTGCAATCCCGGATTGCTGCAGTGTGTTGTGGCTTGTTTGAATAATGTCCTGATGCAGTTCCGTTAATGGGTGTCGGGGTGGTGGCTGGAACCATGCAAGAACTGTGAGAAACATTACATAGGCCAAACTGGAAGAAAACTGACAGTAAGGATACATGAACACCAACTAGCTGCCAAGAGACATGACCAATTCTTACTGGTCTCAAGACACACGGACAAAGAAGGACACGAATTCGGCTGGGACAACACATCCATAATAGCACAAGCCAAACAGACATGTCAGGGAATTCCCGGAGGCCTGGCATTCCTACTGGAACTCTGTCAACAAACACATTGAACTGGACCCGATATACAAACCACTAAAAAAACAAAAACGGAAGTGATGGCAACCATCCCAGCAAACCGAGGCATGTAAATAACAAGAGGAACAGAACACCGACGCTTCACCGGAGGGCGCACTGACGATGTTATCTAGCAGGGTGACGAAATGTCTGCAACCAAATCCACTGGCTTGGCGAGCATGTCTACAACCTCGTGCTCAGAACAACATCGAGCTGACTCTCAGGACTAAGATGCTGGTTTACAAGATCCGTGTTCTCGAGCACCTTGATGTACGGTTGTGAAATGTGATGAAGCTATCAAAAAAGGAAACCCAGCAACTTGCACTTTCACTATTTGCTGCTCATTTTTGACATCTCATGGAAGGATAAAATTAGGGATATGACAGTCCTTTCAAAGGCAAAGCTCCTAAGTATATTGGTGCTCATCAAGCAGAGGCAACTTGTTTGGATTGGGTATGTTTTCAGGCTAAAAGAGGGCTGCATTCTGAGGATAATCAGATCACCAGAGCCAGGCAAGGCTAGGACTTCCAAGGATGCTTGCAAGTGTGACATGAAGGTGTTGAATATTCATTCTCGATGTACCTGAAGAGACAGTAGATGATGGCAGAGGAAACTGGCAACGTCTCCTGTGGGCCAGCATGCACCATGTGACAATCAGTCGCTACAGCAGTCTAGGAAATGGTGCCAATTCTGAATACAACAAACCCACAATAACATCTGATAACCATCTCATGTGTGGCACTTGTTGGAAGACCACAAAAAGCTACCTGGTCCCTAATGGATGCCCATCAGCAGATATAAGTTCAAGGATGCCAATAATAATTAATGTAGTAAAACTAACCAAGGCACTTTGCAAGTATTTTCAAGCAAAATTTGACATTGAGCCACATTAGGAGTTTATTAGCGTGGATGAAGAAGCATGTTTTAAAGAACAATGTGAGACAAAAGAGCTGGAAAGATGTAGTGAGCAGGTTCCAGAGCTTTGGAAAAGGCAGCTGAGGATACAGGGCCAGACACACTTGTCACCCTACCGTACAGAGACATATCAGAGACAACCACAAGACTACTCAGACCCTTAGGTATCAGGGTAACCCACAAACCAACAACCATTCTGTGACAGTTACTGGCAAACGTAAAGGATTCCATACCCAAAACCAATAAAACTAACGTAATATAGAAATCAAAAGACTAGAATTAGTGAAACACACAGATCTCAGGGTGCTGCAAGGCTGAAGGAGATCACAGAGGCAGGAAAGAGACAAGGCCATGGAGAGATTTGAAAACTAGTTTAAGAAGTTTAAAATCAATATGTTTGTAAGCCATGAGCATAAACAATGTATTGTTAAGCAGAGAGGAAATGGGTGAATGGGACTTAGTGCAATTTAGGACATGGGCAGTTTTGAATGACCTCAACTTTATGAAAAGTGGAACTAGAGACTTCAGTTTGATGTACATTGGAATAGTCAAGTCTAGAAGTAACAAAGGTACAAATGACAGTTTCAGAAATAGGTAAACTAGGGCAAAGGGGAGTTTTTTTAATTCATTCACGGGATGAGGGCATTGCTGGCTAGGCCAATATTTATTGCCCATCCCTAATTGCCCAGAGTCAACCCCATTGTTGTTGTTCTGGATTCACATGTAAACCAGACCAGATACGGATGCTAGATCCATTCCCTAAAGGACATTTAGTGAACCAAATAGGTTTTTCCAACAATTGGTAACAGACTCATGGTCATCATTAGATTTATAACTCCAGATTTTCATTGTATTCAATTCCACCATCTGCCATGGTGGGATTCGAGCTCAGGTCCCTAGAACATTACCTAGTTCTCTGAATTAACAGTTCAGCAGTAATGCCACTAGGACATCACCTCCCCTAAGTTGAGCGATTTTATAGTGACAGAAATAGCCAGGGTGTGGTTATGTGGCTGAAAACTCATCTTGGGTTCAAAGTTATACCAAGATTGTGAAATCGGAGCCAGAGTAGACCATACAACCCTCAAGCCCACTTTGTACAATTTGACCTTACCAATAACATGACATTCTCTGATGTTACCTGATCGTCTGTAAAATATGATCTTATCTAGGAATCTGTAGGAGCGTACCCCCCAACAGAGTGTATAAAGTCTGTTCGTACCAACGAGTACGCACAAAGCTATTACATAAATTAATATACTTTTCATTCAATTTATCCCTCTTACTGTGTATCCTAGATTTGTGTGATTCAGTTCTTTAATACATATCTCACTTATAAGTAGGGTTTTTTTTGAACTCCACTGTCCCAGCGAAAGTTTCAGTTTCTGGTTTGACCTTCCAATCCAATCAGTACAACTATTAGTTTTACTTATTATTTAATTGCAGAAATATACTTTATTCATAAAAAAAACCTTTGTCTACATTCACAAGTAGTAACGTAGTTCTGCACAGTCCTTGCATATCAAGAAAAACAAACGTTGGAATTTGACATTCCCTGCAGTTACAAAACCAAAGGCATTTCTTACTCATACGGGACGTTACTTACATATATTGAAACAATGAGAGGGTCTTATAACTGAACAGGCCCTTGTAATACTTTGGCAGAAAGATCTTGGACAGTGGTCTTTTCCCACTGCACCTTAGCAGCAGCTGTTCTGAGCTTTAGTGCATACCTCAGCACGTAGTCCTGGACCTTGGAACATGTCAGTTTGCAACACTCGGTCGAGGTCAACTCTTTACACTGGAAGACCAAAAGGTTTTGGGCAGGCCAAAGAGCGTCTTTCACAGATTTAGTGGCCCTCCATGTGCAGTCGATGGTTATCTCAATGTGTGTCCCAGGCAATTGCCCATAGCGCACAGAGTCCTGCGTCAGGGCACTGCTTGGGACGAGGCTTGACAAAAACCACTGCATCTCTCCCCAGACCTTCTTTCCAAAGGCACATTCCAGAATTGTTGATTTACAATTACGCAACACGTATGCGTCTTTGGGATTTGTCAGAGTTTCACAACCGAATGTAGTACAATGTACTTCTGTTAATTCAAGGTGTGTGTTTTATTACAAAGAAATTAAATTATCCAGTAGCTCAAATGATGTGATTTGAATAAAACAGCATAAGTAGAATCTCTTTTAACATTGTTTTAACAGCTAATTTGAATTAAGCAAATTTTGATTAAATGAGCAGGTTGCATGGCTACTCATACATTTGAAAGAATGCACACAACATAACACTCACGTTCTATTCTCATCAGACCTTGTTGTGCTTGAATTTGTGATCTCTGATTAATTACAGTGATTTATTACCTTCAAGTTGCCAGGCCTTGCTTGAGTATCAGTTATCGTATTTATATCTCTCTTTTAAAGTTCATGAGTAATAACTAATTTGAATATACCTCCTGTTTACAAGAGATATAATGTACATTCAGGATGTGGAACTTGTAAGATAAACAGTTATCACATCAATACAGACAGGAGCGTCTCCTCCAAGAATAAAAAAAACAGGAAAGTGAGAGGGCAGAGACTGTCAAAGCAGCGGTAAGCCCTGTAACTAAATCAAAAGGAGAGTGAGATATAGGGTAATCTCTTCATTAACCCTTTTCTATTTCCCCCACAGACTGAGATAAATGAAAGACTTCAGAAACAGGAAGAGGCCTACACTGTGAGAATCAACAAACTTATCCAGCACTGAGATATGCGGCAGGAGGATCTGTCTCTCAACGTTGTCGACCATGAGGATATGCTGCTTGTGAGCTAATTTCTTTTCAAAGTAGGTTATAACAAGGGTAGATATCAAAAGTCTTTATTTTGTTCACAAAAACATATTTGGCGTTTTGTTTGGGGAGAATTTGGAGCCATGCATCATGTTTGTTGTGTCTTAGTTCTGTAATGTGGCCTTACATGTTGTATGTAAACAAGTTGTGGCTTATTTTTGAATGTGGTGCCTATTAAAACTACTTCTGTTGAAACATTTGACTATGTTAAAGGCATATGTAAATACAAGTTGATGTTTTGTCCATTGAGCAGTTAATTTTTTTTTTAAACCCTGCCGATAGTTCTGCAGCACATCCTATAGAAATAGTTATTGTTTTTTTATCCCTGAACAACCCCTGCCTATCTCCAATGAAAGGACAGGATGCAAGCCTGCTCCTCGGGATCTGCAACTGTTTCTCTAAATAGTCCTGCTCTTGTGGAAGACAAAGGCTTAGATTAGTTTACAATGAAGAGGTAAGATTGAATGCAAAGCATATGGGAAGGGGGAGCTGGGAATGGGAAACTGTCAGACTGAAAAAAATCCTGGGTGGAAATCAACTTTAAAAATTCATTCATAGGATGTGGGTACCACTGGCATTTAATGCCCATCCTGACTAATGAAATTGAATAGCTGCTTGGCCAGAGTCAACCATATAAATGAGACTATGTAAGGACAGGAGAACTTCTGTAAAGAACAGTGATGCAGCTCCACGTTCTTGCGATCAATTTTATTAATAGCAGATTTTTTTAAATAAAGGAAACATTTAAATTCTCATACTACCATTGTGAATTTGCATTACTTGGACTTTCAGTCCAAGCCTTTGTATTACTATCGCAGTAACATAACCACCATAGTTTTGTCATTTGAATGTTGACAGCAATCGTGCCTAAATTTGTGAGTAATTCTTGAAATATGAATCTATTGTCATTCATTGAAACCACAGGTGAGATTTTCCATCATGATCTGGGTCTGTGGCACCTCGGGGAAGCTGTAAGACCCCAGAACACAGCTGGCTAGTTTTGGAGCACCAGCTCATGGAGGCAAAGTAAATCTCTCTGCTACTACTCGTGACATGAAGACCGTCCCAACTTGAAGTAATTTATAATACTAATATTGGGTTTTTCTGCATGGGTTTCAATACTTAATTGGAATTGTTGTACACAAAGGAGCTGACAATTTGTATGTGGCATTTAATCATGGGTTTCAGCTGATGGAGGGTGAATTTCTCCACTGCTGCACCCCCAGCTCAGACCCTTGCCCAGCTGGACCGCACTGGAAATCACACACCCTGTGCCTTTGTTTATCATTGTACTTATAATTTGCTAATGCACAAATCCATGTTGGAACACTCAAGCAAAATATTAACTAATAATTCAAATCGAGATTACTTTACAACCTTGGAAATCACCAGCTGTGTTCTTTTAACTCTTCAAAGTTACTCCATTGAAGGCATTTAATTTTACAAGTTTACTTTATGCGAATGAATTTGGGAAAATTTTTTTTTAATTTGTGAAGCTAAAATTCAATAAGCGTCTTACTAAATCAAGTTTTACTGAAATTAAAATTCATCTTTTGGAAGTTCCCAGACTCGTGATTCACTTTAAATCTTCACAAGTGGTCCTCACTAGGTAACTGGCTTGAATTCTTTATAGCTGACATCCTCCGATGTATGTTAGCATGCTGTCACAACTGATGCCTTGTCCTATCCAGAACAAAATTGTTTTACAAATGAGCAACTGCATGTACTTATGTAGCACCTTGTAAGATAGTTCCAGATGAGGTCCAGAAGTGTAATCAGACACTGAACTGCGGTCAGAGATAAAGTATTTTAAAGGAAAGAGTAAGGTAGAAATACAGAGACATGTAAAAGTATGTTTCTGTTTTAGGTGTGAAGAGCATTTGACAGTGTCAGAAGGTGATTTCCAGAGCTTAGGCCCTATAGCCACCAATGCTGGTGTGACAGAAAATGGAGGCTGGAGTTGGAGGAGTATAGATATCTCTGAGATGCGGGTGTTTTAGGGATGGAAAAAGTCACGAAGACATGGGAAGGCAAGCCCATGGAAGGATTTGAACACATACATGAAAACTTTAAATACAGATTAGCGAATTAATTGGTGATGAATGAACAAGATTTAGTGCAAGTTAGGACATAACAGCATAGTTACAGAAGAAATGACCTTCATGGAGGGTGGAAAATTGGCTCAGTGTGATGATTGGACAAATACCACAGCTCTTGCTCTCTCCACAGCATGCATGATTTAATCTTATGTTACACTCACTAATAATTCCATCAACAGTGGGGTCAGACACATTGCCTGATGTGTGCCAGGAGTCCCTGATGTTTCCTCTCTGTCAGTTGCTAAACACTGCAGGTATATTGATTATCCACTTATCTCTACTTCACTCTGACAGAATAACTGACGGGTATTGAGGAATTTAGGAAAGGTAAGTAGTCTATGAGTTCAAAATTCTTTGCAGAAGACAGAAACAATTGCATCCCTACTGAGCTGAAAGCAACTCTGAACTTTATTCATCTGTGTGCTGGACTCCAAAATTACCGATCAGTCAAAACATGACTGGATTGTCTAGGACTATGAAGATGCTGTAATGGTGCCATCTGCTGCTCACTTTGATGATTGCAAATTAAATCAGTTAAATAAATGCAGCTCCAACATTTATTCACAGCTCTGGGACCTGCAAAACATTTGCTGTCAAGTTAATGTAATTAACCAATTTGATCATCTCACTTACTCCTCTCCTGCTATACCTTGCCATACCTTTACCATTCTTCCCATATTAACCCCATCCCATGTGATCCCTATCCCTTTTCATTCCACTGTTACCATTCCATCCCTCATGCCATCCTCTGTTGGTTTAATTGTCTGTCTCACTCTGGCCTTTCTGATCTTGGTTTCCTACACACTTGTGCTCGTTGGAAGTTTCAAAAAGAGTAACATATCTTTCAATTAGGCATTTTACAACCTTTCAGATTCAGCATTGAGCCATCGTTTTTTTTTGTACAAGTGTTGGTGATGATTCTGTTGTTGTCATTTACAACTCTTCTAAACCCAAATTTTGTGTTTTCCTTTAGTGGTCCCATTACTACCTTTTGCCTGTCCTTCGCTCCATTTTCTAGTTAATTGTTCACCTTCCACCATAAAATTTTCCTTTTTATTCCTTCCTCTCCTACCCTCCTTTCACTGCGCCTACATTTGTTTAAAATCTGTAAAATCTCTAATACTTTCCAATTCTGGAGATCAGTCATTAACCTGAAACCTTAAACACATGTTCTCTTTCCACAGATGATACCAGCTAAGTATAATACTTTAATACTAATTATTTTCTGGCTTTATTTCATTTTTTTCAGAATATTCATAGTATTTCACTTCTGAGTTCAATATTTTAAAAAAAAATTGATTTGAATGTTACACAACTTACAGTTAATACAATCTTGGGCTTTATTTCTGATTTCTGTATTATTAATTTAACGTTTTATCTACATCAGTTCCGTACTGTGGTTGAAAGACTTCCATTTCCCATGCTGTTCCTTGGTCTAGGCACCAGGAGGCATATGGAGCCGTGCAGAGGAAGAGATTTGTCCCTCTGTTCCATAGATCAGACAGGGATATTGTCTTAGCCCTGGGAACAGTGATGTGGTAAGTTAGTCTAGACTGGGATTCAGACACAGATCTCCTGTATTGATTATATTGTGGATGAATAAAATATTGTAAAATGTAAAATATGTTGTTCTTTTCTTGTGTTGCACGGTTTCATAGTTAGCCAGGTGCATTTCAGTCTCCGCTGTAAATCTATATGGCAAGCTGGATTCTGAGATTATGATTGAATGGTGAATGTCGTGATGCAGTGGTAAGGGAGCAAAAGTGTGTGGGATCAAACCACCACCTAATTCTGGTACTCGGTTCCAGTGTGGGGTAGTGGGAGCACTCTTTGTCACAACGTTGAGAATTCACCCAGAGACCACTGCCTGTGCAGTGCTGAGGAAAGTACCATCACTTGGATGAGGTGTTACACTGGACATCAGTCTACCTTCTTGGGTGGACTTAAAACACCCCAGAGCACTCTCTTGAAGAAGAGCCAGGATTCTGCTAACTGTGTCTTGGACTACATTTGTCACTCAACCAACCTCGTTAAGCTGATTATTTGATAATTATCATATTGCCATTTGTGGAATCATGCTGAGTGTGAACTGGCAAACAGCTACATCATGTTATGCCTCCCTGCCAACAGGTTTGAAGGTGGAATAGTTTATAAAATCCAACTCATGGACTTTACCTATATCCATCTGCCTGCCCCTGAACTGTGTGAAAGTTTACCAGGCTCACTTGACTCGAAACGTTGACTCTACTATCTCTCCACAGATGCTGCCAGACCTGTTTGGTTTCTATATTTGTTTCTGATTTCCAACATTTGTAGTTCTTTGCTTTACAAGGTTTAGTGTTGAGCATCTGAGGATTCTCCTTTGTGGGTTCCCTGTGCCCATTAGAGGCAGCTCCCTATAAGATCACCCTTTACCTTCCTACTCCAATTCCTGTCCTCTCAAACCCAGACTCTACTCACCACATCAAGGACTACAAGCCTGACACCCTCACCCCCTCCCCACCTACTTTATGGCACTGCGGTAGCGCCTCAGTCATGAATTCAACTGGTGCTGAACTGATAAAAATGGTGAATTTGAACTATTGTGCTTCACGCTAATGCTTTCTACAAACCTGGTACCTTCTGAGCTGACACCCATAATTGAACCTTAAAGGCTGCTGGAATGCTACTGGAATCCAACCAGTCACTTCTGTCCTTTAGGAAAGGCATAGATAGAGATGACCGACTGCCAGTGTGATTGACTTAAAAACCCTCAGGGTACTTAAGACCTCGCAGTAAGCACTGGCAGATAACATGCCCAATTCCTATGAGCACTACCCCAGAGTGCGGTGGATGCTGGAATACTCAATACAGTTGAGGAGGAGACAGACAGATTTTTAAATAGTAATGGGTTGAAGAGTTGTGGAGAGGGGGGCAGTAAAGTGGAGTTGAGGCCAAGATGAGATCAGCCATGATCATATCAAATGGCAGATCAGACTCGAAAAGCTGAACTGCCTCCTTCTTATATTCATAGGTTCTTCTGAGCAAAGAAAATATTGTAAAATTTGTCGAATTAACTATTTTCCAAACAAAGTTAAACAATGGAACGATAGAAGT